GAGAGATTTGTGCTTATCAAACCACCCAGGGTAGATACCTCGAGTAAGGAATTTATAAATCGATTTAGCAAGTACGTCCAACAACCTAGGCACTGTATACAATTCAACGACTGGAAATCCAAGGAATGGTACGACATACCTGTATCGATATTTTCCCATTCAAAACTAGCGATTCCCATAAGGGGGGAAACAGGAGGTTCAGTGTCCAGTACGGTGCCAGTAGCATCAAATGGGTCGAAATTCGATAGTGCCTTGACATATGCATTGAGCATTTTCTGAGGAGAAGAGGGGCCGTGCTGATTCCAGTTTCCTTTGAGTAACTCTTCTATAAATCGAGCTGTGAAGCGGTGCCTATCGCAGAGTAGACTGAATAAAATAGTGTATTTGAGAAGATTCTACTACATACCGTCCCCTGAGCCATTTGAACATGCGACCTCTTAATAAGGTCCCAGATGGTGATTCGAGAAACGAGGGAGGGAGATAGCGGAATGTATAGGAGGATTGCACCTCTTGAAGGATAAAGTCGCCAGTAGTGTGCTGCACAATCCAGGGCTTATCTTTACCGACACCTGATGTGATTATATTCTTAAAGTGGTCAAGGGAGAAACCGGTGCCAGATACGATGATGACAGCACCGAGACGCTGGGTCATCTTACGTACGATCGGCCGCAATACCGGCCGTGGATGCTCCCCAGAAGCATCCGAAAAGCTCTTTGTATGCTGTCCACCTAGGACCTGTATCTCATCTAAGACATAGAAGAATTGTTTGTGATCAGAGCCTGGGGCAGTTCTCGAGGTGTCTGAGTCCAGCTTAGTAAGCACTGTCCGGTCGGCATCAGATAAGCACTTGTCGATGAATGCAAGAAAGGGATCCATGTTGTTTTCGAAAAGTGGTGGGAGGGCCTGAAATAATAACCAGGCATGCTTGATAGTGTCGGGTAATTTCTCACCATAACACGATTTGGCCACTTCTATAAAGGTATGAAATATTTGCCAACGGGCTATTAAGACTCTTGAAATTCGATCGAAGGCGATTACTTCGTTGTTCCAATTTGCGGTGGATACCTGACTGGGGTTTGTGAATATGTCTGGGATCCAACCTCGGCTGCTAGCCATATGTTCGATCATAGCTCCAAGATCTTGGGATCCTATTCTGTCTGGTCCTTGAGCTGCCACAAAGTAGAAGCCCCACTCGTGGCATAGACCCTCGAGCAAGAGCCGGGTCTTGCCCGACCCCGATGTATTGCATAAAATCCTAAAATATTGTTAGTACTTTCTACAGCCAAATCAGTAGCATCTCACGTATTGTTGCCTTTAAATAGTATATCTCTATTGGGATTGGGAGTATCGCGAAGCTTGTGGAAAAGAAGACTCGGCTCATTGTTGACAAGCGGAATCGCTAGTACCTCATAGAATCTCTGAATCTCTTCGCTAGTGTTTTTCGGCGGACTCCAATAGGCTTCCTGTGGTGAGTTGAGGAACTGTTTGATCTTGGGCCGGAGTTCAGTCAGGAACCGCTCAATCTTGGTTCGCACAGTATCGATGTCCTCAGTTTTTCCTAAATCCGGGGACAAATTGAGTATCGGGAAGGCGCTTGGATGGTTTTGGGGTGAGTCAACTGGTTGAAGATGGAAGCAATGTCAATAAAGGCTGCCAGACTTGAAGCGGTGTGTTTTGGAGTTTGTAATTTAATATGGGTAAAATTTTATCGTGAACGCACCGGAACTAGGAGGTACAACGAGGATATGGATCGTTTTTTTGGGGGGGGCGGTAGGATATAGGTCTTGATCCGATAGAGAAGATGATACCAAAAGTGGGTCAGGCAGCTCCTCCATTTTGATCCCCACTTTTTCTTCAAAATTTCTATCCTCTGGAATATCTACCCGATATAGTGTGAGGGTGGCAGGGACGATATGCTTCAAAACATCCGGCCTCTTCTCGACAATCTCCTCTTTAAACCGGTCTACTGTGATTGATGATTCCACTTCAACAGAGAATCGCGTTTTTAGGTGATTAGAGAGGACACAGAAGATGGTGTAGGCCTGTGACTGAGATTGAGACATGGTGGCTGCGGTCAAGTCTCAGTTCACCACTGTTGACCTCCGCTGGAGACCACTCTGCTAAATCCACAGCATGTAAAAAGAGCAACATGTGTGTATATATGGTATTCAAATCGGGCCTTTCACTGACCAATTTGTTACCCATTGCTATTCGCGATAAATGAACAGCGTTTATCTAGATGTGCACTATACTATAAGTAGGGATGGCGAGATATACAATGATAGAGCAGATTGCATTTAGAGATATAGATGCTAATGATATCAATTATCAAGGCCGAGTTTCGCTTTGGGCTGGCAATAGGAGGGAGGGGCGCATCGGTAAAGGGTCCACAAACTCCAATTGGTCGGGCTTATAAAAAAAGAATCGCGCAATGGATTGGAGAGAGGGGTATTATTTACAATTGCTATTAGGGCAGTGGATGAAAAGTTGAGTTGGGTTACACGTGCCGACCATTGAGAACGGAATCGCCAAGATTTGGTTGTTGAGAGCTATTTACGCTTCTTTAGAGGCGGCCCTCCTGAGTCACCCTGGTTGAATTCCCTCTTCCTCTTGAGATCATCCCTCAACTGCTTGGCGATAGAGAGACCTTCAGGAATGGTGGCGAGCACAGAGGTCAAGGCACTTGTAGATAATAGAGCCAGAGGATGATGATCTTCGTTCAATGCATCCCGAACTTTCTTAGCTCTCGAGTTGAAGTCGGCGACAAGTGGAAATGACACAACAATACGTAGAATAGGATATTTCCTCTTGGTGGTGGAAGACTGATTCTCCGTGTCAATTGCATCAAGCATCGAGTTGATTTTGGCTTGGGTCTTTTGTCGTTTATTCTTTGCCCCTTTAACCTGTCAATAGATAAATTACAACAGGAA